TGCCATTGATAACAGTTGTTAGGTTTGGATCGGATTCTGTTGTCTATTAGGGTTTCTGTGTTCCAGTGTTGTAAGGTGCATTTTGCTGTGTGGTGGTCCGTTTCAAAGATTTCTTCATCTTGTATCTCTATTGTTGCCTTTGTGAGTAACCAAAGTGGAGACGTTGAGATCCAAATTTGATCGATCCTGCTTGTTATGTTGTCGCAGTTGCTCCATGTGTGTTGTGTGCTGTAAGGGTTAAGATTTCTGAATGTGTCGATGAATTGGTTGGTTGTGAGCCATCTTATAAATTTTCCTGTTGGCACATATAGGTTTTGTTTGAAGTGTTTTGAGTTTGGCATATCGATACTTGGGTTTGCAACTGAATTGAGATCACCTAGAATGATGATGTGGCTGTTGTGTGTTTTGGCTTCATTGATTAATCTGATTGCTTCCTTGGTATGTTTGTGGTGTGATTTGTGTGTTGCAGATGGGAGATAGATTGCAATGATTCTGAGTTTACGTTTGTGCTTGAATAGTAGGTCTACTGATATAATTCTGTCTTTCCAGATATGTTTCTTGTGGATGTGTCATGCAAGTTGTTTTTTGATGATGAGAGCAACGCCAAACCCTTTGATTTGTGTGCTTGTTTTGCTCCAAATTACCTCATGGTTGGAGAATGTGATGAATTTGCCTTCCTTTTCACTGAGGTTCGTTTCTGTTAACACTGCTATGTCTGCTTGCTCTTTGTTAATTTGTTCCTGCCACAGTTGTAGCTTGCTTAAATTTGTCTTGAGTCCTCTAGTGTTTGTTGTGGTGATTTTCCAGTAGTGTTCTGTTAGATTGTTGAGTGGGTTGTGGTTTGATTGTTGTGAATATGATTGTTGAAAAGTTGGTGATGGAGTTGCTGTTGTAGGTGTTGCATTTGATGTACTATTTTCTGTGTCTGTGTCTGATCATGTAAAGTCGTTTTCTAATTGTTGTTGCAGATTTTGGTTGTGTTGGTTGTTGTGATTATGATCGTTTGCTTGAGGATTAGGGTTGTTGAAGCTGTGAGTGTTACCCATTACTGATAGGTGGGTGTTGTTGTTGTTTTCATTGGGTTTGTATTAGACATGTGGTCGATTGTTGTTACTATTTGGTTGATGCTTGTTTGGATTTTATCTACTGATGCGAACAGGTTTGCTTGTTGGCTCTTGATTTCTTCGATACTTCTTTCTCTTGTGTGTGGCTCTTTGCTTGGTGGATCAGTGTTGGGATTGTGTGTTTGTTCTTCTTCCATGGTTTCGTAGTATTCTTGATTGTAGAATTCTAAGTTGGTAACACTTTCGTCGATTTCTGCTATTTTGTTGTGGAGGTCAGAGAGTTGCTGTTGGATTTGGTTTAGGATGTACGAAATGTCAGAGAGTGATGGTTCTTGTTGTTGTTGTTTTGTGTTTCTTCTGGCTGCATCTGCAAATGATCCGCTTCTAAAGGTTGATTTTGTTGTATCTTTGGAAATGTTTATGTTCCGGATTTGATATGTTTTTGCTGGTCTGAATTTATTGTATAGGTTTCCGAATTTAGTTGCTTGTGTGGCATTATAGTCTCTCCATTGTTGTCGTCTGTGTTTGGTTGGGCAGTCTTTGGCAAGATGTGTTGGTGCGTTGCAAATTGCACAAAGTTTGTTTGAGATCGGAGTGAAGTTGAGTTCTGTTTCGCCTAAGATGTATGTTTGTTGTACTGCGTTAAGGAGGTCTTCTTGTGTTTCGAAGCTAATGACTGCAAATCTTTTGGGTTTGTATAACGTGTTGGTTGTTTTGGGAATGTAACATGTACATTCTTTGCACTGTTTGACGATGGTTTTGAGGTCCCATGCTGTTGTGTTGGGTGGTAGGTTGATGAGTTTCGTTGCAATTTCATGTCTATTTTTTATTTGGGATAGTGACCATGTTGCATCGTTGATCCTAACTGAGTCTTCTTTAATTAGGATGCTTCTTTGGTTGACTAGCTTGTCTTTGGTTTCTTGGTTTTCGAATGTGATTGTTGCACATTGCCAGAGGTTTTGTGTATTCATTGTAATACCTTGAATTTCTCCAAATTTGGTAAAGGCTTGTTTGACCTCTATGAGCTTTGTGTTTAGGGGATGTCCCAGACCACTATGGATTTGCTTTTTTCGATTTCATGGTGTTTGATTTCCATGTGCTTGAGTTTGTGTTCATCCATTTCAGGTAATTCGATTGTTGTTGCGTAATCTGCTGCTTGTTGATCTCCAAATATGGCTATGATTTTCTTTTCTTCGTTTTTGCCTTCACTGTGGACTGATAGCAAACCTTCTGGGGAGTTGAGTACGAGTATAATATGTTCAATTTTTTGATTGATTGTTTGGCCTTTGACCTTGTTCGCTTGGATTCCTAGCTTGAAACATTCTCTTCCATATCGGACTGTTCTGTCGAAGGGTGAAATAGGTCTTGGTTTTTTTCTGTTGTCGTAAATTTCCTTTGCTTTTCCCTTGTTGACTGTAAACCAGTCTTTTTCGGTAAGTTCTTGATTTTCTGTTTCCATTTCTTCATCTGTATCGTCTAGGCGTGCTGTTTTGTTTTCTTGAGCTTTTTGTGATGTTTCCTGCTCTACCAGGTCGCTCCATGAAGAGGTTGAGTTTGATTCTTGACTGTTTTGCTCTGTAGGAAAGTTGGTTGCTGTCTCTAAGTTTACTTGGGTGTTTTGTTGTTCGGTGGTTGTCGTTGTAATAGTGGTTGGAGAGTTTTTTTCTGTACTTGGGTTGGTTTCAGTTGTCTGTTGTTGAGGTTGTTTCTGTTGACTGTGTTGTTAGGTTTCTTTGCATATGGTTGTGTTCTGAGTGAAGTATTCTCTCTCCCTACTCTTTTTTCATATCTAATGGATCGTTCAGTTGTAGTTGTTGTTGTGTTGGACCTTCTTTGGCCGCTACTGTTGCTTGCCATCTTTCCTTCGAACCATTTTTCTTTTATTTCCTAAAAAGGAAATTTTTACGAATTTTGTTGGTTGTGGGAAAGAGTGATGATGATGTCTTATGTACCATAAATATCAAATAAAAGAAAAATAATAATATAAGTATAAAGATAATAAACACAATAATTAATAATAAATGATTAATAATATTATGAAAAGTTACATGATATTCTGGGATGTTCTGGGGTGTTCCACAAGGTTCCAAGAAGTTCCAGAATGTGCCACAGTATTCCAGAGGTATTCCAGGATGTCCCAGGTTTTTCAGTCACACGGTATGTGGCACAGTGAAAGCAGAAAAATGGTATTGTTTATCGATACTACTAGAAAAAAATTAAGGGAAAATAAACTATCGGGGCCAAAATAAACTATTAGGTAAGTTTGACTACATTTTCTATACTCATTACCAATGCTTTTCCGCCATTTTCTAGGGTACACAACTATACTACGTGACTTTTACCGTAGAACAATGTTAATCCATAAGGCTTTAAATTTAACGAAAATGTGATTTTTTTTATTATGTGCGTAACTAATAAAATTTTTTATGCAGGGATTCTTGTGACCCGAAAATACAATGCAAATGCACCTGTACATACGTTGCATGTACAGTAGAACACTCCAATCCCTGCCGAAAAAATAGAGTTATACTATAATACAGTACGGTAATAATTTTTTTTCTTAGAAAAAATTTTTTTTAAAAAAAATGATTATAATTTTAAATATTTTTTGTATTTTTTGTACTCGGATTCCAAGGTTATTCGTCGTAACATAGTTCACATAACAGACTCAGAGCAATCCAAGTTTAACTTTGGCTTCACGACTAGGTTTCGCATAAAATATGGTCTCACATGAATTTTGAAAAAATCAGGTACTAAACTACAGTAGTATTAAATCTTAAAGAAATTTATTTCTGTTTATACATAATACGTACTACAGTATGATTTTATGGTGTAGTAATACTATGGATTTTTTTAAAAGGTTCTTTTTTCAGAGACTGGGGATTTCGAATAAAGAAATAAACACCGTTGATATAATATTATGAAGTGACTTTTCTATGACGGTTGACCTGTACATGACCAACAAATCTTCCTATTACAGTACTCTGTACCCAACCAACTTATAGAGAACTGCAGTGAATCGATGTTTGTATTTTGTAAACAAACACCTATAAACAACAATAATATGGTACTACATATGTATTTCTATAAATATCGTAATCGATTTAAATTTTCTATGAAATTAATAATATGGGAAATATAACGAAAAAACAAAGCAATAAAGATTCAACATTAACAAAACGAACTACTTCAGTTTCTAATTTTAGACACATTGACGGAAGGAGATATCATAATGATGCGGATGCAAAATACTATCTTCCAAACGACTTTCAAGAATTAGATCGGTTGCATTTACAACATTTCATATATAAACATATATACAATGGTAATTTTTTTGCTCCTGTTGAACACATTTTAGAAAGAAGTGGCTCAAAGATTCTCGATGTTGGGTGAGATAGCATCTTAATAAAATTTGTAGTGAATTTTCTTAAAGATGATATTTACCTAATTTTATATAATAAAAGTTGCGGTGCAGGGTCCTGGATGTTCGATATGGCAACAGACTATCCAAACACTGAAATAATAGGAGTAGACATTTCTCCTATTCAACCTACGGAAATTAAGCCCAAAAATGTCTCCGTTGTTTTTGCGAATGTTTTAAATGGATTGCCCTTTGAAGACAACACCTTTGATTTTATATTTCAACGTTTTTTAGTTGGTTCGATTCCTTCAAACAATTGGCCTAATGTTATCACTGAATTAATTAGAGTTTTAAAACCCGGAGGTTACTTAGAGGTAAGTATTGATTACATCGTAATATTAAATTATATTCATTAGAAATTAATATTATTATCTATAATGTTACTTTTCTAAGTTGTCAGAGGCTTGTGTCCAAATTCACAGGGGAGGACCTGTTACAACTATATTATTTAACGCCCGTAAGATAATACAGTATTACGACTATAGTTTTTAAAATTAAAATCCATATTAATTACTATGTCTATACTTGTAGTTTGTGAAATGCAAACATCTCGAAATTTTGACAACAATCTAATCTATAAGTTTCGATCACTTTTAGAAGAAAATGGTAAACTCGAGGACATTAATGAGGAAAAAAATGTGAATAGTTATTGTACCGAAGACGGTAAACTAGGAAAAGCGGTAAGGAGTTTTTTATTTTACACTTAAATTTTGACAATTTTCTAATTTACAAATTATTGTATAGTGCATCGAAAATGCCAGGACTGCATTTTACAACTTAAAAACCCTTTTTTTGCCACTTTTAGGGGTGACCCAGGAAAGGTTTGAAGAAATGCTTGAAACATTACCTAAAGAGTTGGAAGATAATAAATCCTATTTTGACATAGCTCGTGTTTATGGGCGTAAGAAGGAAAATGTTTGACCATTATGACTTCTGTTTTCATATTCAACGAAATGTGTATAATCAAAGTCAATTATAATTTTTTTTTTAATTCTAGTTTCATCTATTATCTATTTAAGCTCGAAACTTGCACATATATATAGTCTTTAATATCTTTTAATTTATGTTTTGACAACTTTATAAAGCAGATAATTCTCGAATTACACAAGCAATTAATGATGCGTTCTATATACCATATACTGTACTACTGTATATTAAGTTTTATAATAAATATGAAATATGCAAAATTATTAAACTTAACATGAAAAATATATAGATGTAAACAATCCTTAAGAATTACAAACATAGCTATCAATATATAATTCAATAAAAATTATATTTTTAAAAAGAAAAGGTTTACTTAATTATATACAGTATAAATAACATGGATAATTCAATAATTAAAATTCTTTAAAAAATTAAATTACCTACATTGATATCTTTTATTCAAATAAAATATTTTTGTGTTTAGATTATAAAAAGATAAGAAGTTGAGCAAGTTAATATCAAATATTATGTAACAAAGAATATCTCATTAATTAAATAAGTGATTTGATATTAGGTTTAATAAGATTGACCATATAATTTACAATATATACAATATATTTTCTCATAATTAAATAAATTCTTGTTTTATTATTAATTATAAAATAACCAATATACTTTTTATATTTCAAATATTAAAAATAAAACTTTTCCATTCACTTCACATTCCTTAAAAATTTTCTTTTTTGGAAATACAGTCAAATCTCTCTAAGTGCAGATCATTAAAACCATATAGTAATTTTCAAAAAAACCTGCACTTAGGAAGAATCTGCACTTAGAGAAAAGATTTTTTTAAGTGTTATATATACTTGGAACTGGATTTTAAAAAACTCAATTTTGTACTTAAAGAGTTATTATATAGTAATTGCACTTAGAAAGGATACACTTAGAGAAAGTTAACTGTATATTTTTTTCAACATGAAAAAAAACTTTTAAAAAATTAAATACAATGAAAAGAAATTTTTCTAGTTAGCAGTGATATACTGTACTCTCTTTAAAGATATAGCTCTTACTGGTAAAGAAGCTATAAGGCCAAAAACAACTTTTTTTATCCTCAAATCAGTTGCCTTGAATAGCAAGCTAAAAGTATGATTGGGATTTGAATTGGCTTCTTAAAGACAAAGAGTCAAGTGTATTTCTTATACAGCTAAAAGATACAAATTAAAATATTACTAAATAGTAAAGATTGGTTCCTAAATAAAGGTAAGAATATAATTTAAATGTTTCTTATTATTAAAAAAATTTTTTTAAATATAAAATCAAAAAAAACTACCTACAAAGGTTTTTTGCAATTTAAATCACTTGATTCAAGTGTTTTTTGAATTATGTTTCTATTAAAGTAATAAATAAATAATTATGTTTCTTCAAAAGAAATATAATTAATCTATAAAATTTTATATACTAAATAATTTAGGAACCCATCCTTACTAAATAATGATAACACTTAAGAAACCAAATAGAAAGTTTACTTGTAACCAAAAATATTTTCTTTTTTTCTTTTCATAACTTTTACCTATAGTACAGTATTTTTATTATTATTTATAGATACCTTATAACTGGATCTTATTTAATCATAATGAATAACAATAGTGATACTTTACTATAATTAGTCAAAAAATAGTTAATTCTAGTTGGAGAGTTTTCAGACTGTTTAAAAATTAGAAAAAAGACATAAACAAAATGAGTAATCAATATAAAATCATAAAAAAACAAATATACAGAAACAGGTTTTAAGTAATTTATTCTGTTTTATAACTGTACACTAGTGCCAAACAAGTATAATCTGATATATATATTTTTTTAACACATATGTTAAAACACTATAAACTCTTTTAGTAAATTTTAAGAGTTTATAGTCAATTATTTAAAACATATTAATATAAAAAACAATATTTCCATTGTTAGCCCTATAAAAGTCATAGAGTATAGTCACATATCATAACTATTGTGTTGTATATCCTGAAAATATGAAGTAACATTAATAATCAACATAGAGAATATAGTTATAGGAGCTTACATAACTTATCCATAGTTTAATTTAGTCCTGATAGTTTATTTTCCCTTAATTGTTTTTCTAGTAATAGAAATAATATAAATAGTAATGCTAATGTATAAGCAAACAATATAGGTAGAGAAATATAGAAAATAAATATAAGATATTAAAAATTGAAGCACCAAATAAGAAATATTGTAATTAACAACTTACCTTTTCAAGTATACACCATACAAAGAAGAATAATTGCCACTATAGGACATAGCCTGGGATTATCAAAAGAAGAGCTGGTATCAGAAAAGAAGAGAAAAGCTTGTTAATAACAAAAACCCTGACTAAATCAATCTTACATGCCTCGACTTACCTTAGTTACACAAACTTTGGACTGGTGAAGTGACTAACTCGCCATATTCCAGGCCAACACCATATATAAAAATATAGTACTGATTACTGGATCTTTGCTATAAAATTTTTTTCTGTAAGCAAAATAATCATAAACACTTATCAAGTTTTCTTGCATCAGATAGTACAAGGAATTGTTAAGTAAGTCTTATAGTTTTTCTTTTATACTATACTTTTTCTTATATACCTAGAAGAATAACGTAGAGTTTATAGAATAACAATAAGTTATATAATAGATACTAGTTTTGTACTATATCTTAGTAAGTTATTTTATTATATAGCTTAGACTAGTATTTGTATAAATTATATAATTTAGTTAAATATATATACTAAATAATATTTTTTATAAAATATAAAGATTTATATCATCTTGCTAAAAAAAAAGTAATAAAAAATTAGTTTTAAAAATAATAAAAAAAGGTTATAGTCTTCTATAAGAGAAAAACAAATAATACAAGATTTATTGATTGTTTTTATTAAAGAATTTCTTTAGTTAATTTTAAATTATTTAAATATAATTAATTGTACAAATAGTTAATATTTTCAAATACCTAATAATTTATTATTAATCTTTTATTATTAGTATTCTTTTTATTAAACTTTGAATTGTATCAATCAATTTTTTGCTTAAAAATTTCCTTATTTGATAACAAGCTCTTTCAAAAAACTTACTTTCAATCCAAAGCACTTTCAAGTGCTCTCACCTGCTAACTAACTCCTACCATAGAGCACTCTACAACAAACAGTAACAAAAAACAGTTCCTACATGCCACTATTCACCAGGACTGGAATCAACTTTTTCAAATTTATTACTTTGACCTCAGCAACAATAAAATTATCTAAACAGAATTTGTAAGATCCCTCCTTATTACCAACCTAACAAACTTTTCTAACCAATTCCTCATTGTCAAAGAGGAAAAAAACATTGAGAAAATCATTAAAACAGAAGCCACCGATGACATCTGTATTCTAATTTTTACAACTGAAATATATAAAAACAGAAACAGAAAAGACCAAGAAAAACTACTCCAAATCCACATCCAACTCTCCAACCAAAGAAACATTCCTCTTAACTTTTAATTAATCAGTAACATAGTCGAAAAAATGGAAAAAACCCAACCCAATACTGAACTTTACAACCGTTTCCAAGAATTTCTCACTCTTTTCCAAGGAACTTCAAAAAACCCCAATCAGCTTACCCCCGAAAATGATCAACTGTCCATCACCTCCCTTGTTTCCCAAAAAGGGAGCGACAATCAATCAAACACAACAAAATCTCTTGTATTTCAATTGTCTATCACGTCAATCCTGCCCAATCTAGTAACTCCTCCACCAATGAAATTATCAGATCTGAATCCATCCCCAAACAAACCAATAAAACAACAATTACTTCAACTTCCCCTTTTGACAATTCTATGACCATATCTAACCTCAGTATGAAAATAAGCGAAATTCAACCTACAAACCAATCAAATTTCATGATGATCGATGATATCGTCAACCTAGATGAACTGTCCAAAACTCTCTTCCAAACCAAAACCTCTCCATATACTTGGTCCTTCTCTTTTGAGCAACAAGTCCATGAAGAACTTCAAGAAATCAGAGACAACAAACAATATGAAACCCTTTGACTTGACATTGAAAAATTAGTTAACAATCTTTTTCCAGCTTCAAACAATATTCAAATTATTATTCAAACTCTCGACACTATTCTCAAACTTTTCAACTATTCACCTTATCACTTTAAAGCAATTATAAACAAAATTACCTTTAAAGATCATACTTTCTTCAGTTCTTTTATCCAAAACAGAAACCTTACGCCAGCCTATCAAAAAGAGTTCAATGAAATTGAACAAGATTTTCAAAACAAATACAAAAACAAAAACAAACTCCATTTCATTAACTTCCAAACCAAAAAAAAAATTCAATCTATTATTTGTATAATCTTATCAGTTATCTACCTACACACCATTAACATTAAAAATACTCCTTACTATGAACTAGCAAGCTTCCTAACTTACTTAATTAACTATTTTATCAAAAAATCTTCCTTTACTCTTAAGTATACGTCTATTAGAGATGAACTCAAAAAATTCCTAAATGACTCCCTCCCTAATTTGCCTATCGAACCAATAGAGATTCCTTTACAAATTATAGTTTAACTTCCTATCAAACTTTCAATGTCAGATAAAATCCATATTATCACTACTCTTCACATTCTTAACTTATATTACAAATTCGACAAACTACCTGACACATACTTCAAGAAAAATCTCCCTTTTCTTGAGGATTCTAATAATCTTTTAATCAAATATAAAAATATCTTTCCCATCAAAAAGAGAAGTGAACTCACCAACCTTGCAGACTATAAAAATTATCTTTGCGAAGAATATAAAGTTCCTTCCAAATTACCAAACTTATATTTCGACCTTCCACCTCCTAAAAAACCTCTTCCAACAACTTATCAGTTATTAGACCCCAAATACAAACATTTTTTTCCTTACAATTCTAGGGATAGTACAATTACCTTACAAAAAATCAT